ATGAAAATTGCACTTGCGCCTCTGAATTTTCACGTAAAGAAATTGGTTGAAAACAGCCCAAAGCTGCCCTCCGACGAACTCCGACGAATTAAGCTGGAATCAACATATTTAAGCTGAAGTCAAAATGTTTAGGCCCTGGAGGCTACAAATAGCAGTGTGCTTGCTGTTCTGAAATCATTCTAGGTGTTTGCGCTCTCCAATTGGCCAATTCAATAGCCATCAAATCTTTACTACCAGGTACAATGAGAATTTCACTTGGGAAGTGGGAATATTCCCAAATACAGTGGAGGCCTATCCACAGCACTAAATGCGGCCGATGGGGAGGGGTAGACAGAGGAACGGATATATTTTCACATGTTAAGATATTTTAAACTATTTAATGATTTGAAACCATTTGAATCTGATCAGTTGTTGGAACACCTTAATTGATGCTATGAAAACTGGGTTGGACCTTAACTTCTTGAAAAAGCTTAACTCCCGACCAACCCGTAATCCACGAAATAAATCAACCAGTTTCTTTGAAAAATAACAACCCATTTCCATTGAACAATTATTGACTATCTAACATATCTGAATTGCCGGTGCTCCATTGACTCAGACTTCAGACATTGACCTCGCCTGCACTTGAAGGATCCTCCCACTCTTGTGGTACCAAACACCACTTTCCACTTTCCTGGTGATGCTGATGCTGATCAGAAGCCAGATCTACCAGACAGGAAAGCCTGCAACAATCACCATTAAACATCATTCAAGGGTGGTGATCCATGATGATCCAGCCTCAGAAAAGGTCACTGGTCCCTGACCGTCATACAACAGACATCGAACTCACATGCCACACTGCTACGCCTCTAATATATACAAACCAGGGGAAGCAGCCGTGGACCGAGCCCGTTTTTTTAGCCACTCCCGAGCCCGACTGCGCAGAAAGACGACACGGTGCTCCTTTTCTTTGGCTGTTGTGAACGAGGTGGGACTGCTCGTTGGACTGTTCCAAGAGTGGGGGAGGGACACCTGAGGGCGCCTGAGTTGACTGTGAGTTGACTAATTAGATCATACTAGATCAACCTCCTCTTCAACAGGATCTCCAGCAAGGGTCTCAGTGGCTGTGGTTGGCTCATGTTGGCTCCCCTTGGGCACATCAGGAAAAATAGACAAATAGACAACTGCACTCCTGCGGTTCTTGTTTGTTGAGCCACATCCATTTGTTCAGATTCAGATTTTTGAAATACTCGGGCCTCACTTTTGGGGGCACAAACATTTGCCGGTGCCGTTTGCCGCAAAATGGGGAGACCCGTCTCGCATCACCAGGGAGTGTCCGGTGAGGGTCCAAGCAGACCCTGGGAAAAAGAAAGTACACCCTCACCCTGACTCACTGGAAGAAAGCAACATGGAACTACACACTTGTTACTAGTAGCTTCTCCAACCTAGTAGCGATGGCCTCCAACCTAAGAGCGATGGCCTCCAACTACACTCTGACTATCTCTGACTCACTAACATGGAAGCGGAAAATGGCCCCTGTGAAGACAATTTTCCTCTACAACCAGATGGTTTTCCATTTCCGTCACCGCATTAGTGAGTCGGAGTGTAATAAGTAGATCCGCAACATATTGATTGTCTTTACTACACCGTCAAAGCCTTTGATACGATTGGCAGGAAAAACTGAAATGTAGGCTGCCATCACTATATAATACTATATACATGTGTATATTATATATATATACTCAGCAGAAGTCCCAAACGATTGCACCAATTTTGCTCGTATTGGCAAGCAAGTCTCCTTCCGGTTGACTCTCGTTCCAGCGGTCATGCAGTGGACATTGATAGCGACTTCAACGAAGAGATCGCAGGAAAGCCCACGGTGATGTTCCGGGACGTTTGGTCCTTCAACCCCATGCGAGCAGCTCAGTTAGACGAAGAGCTCTTGGCCATAGTCCACGCAAATCAGATAGCTAAAGTTCAGTCTGAGCAGAAAGCCATGTGGCCGCAAGTGATTGAAACTTCAACCCACCAAATGGAAAGGGCTACAGGCGTTTGATCCACAAGCACACCCAAGTGCCTCTCCAACTCTACCGCACTCCAGCACAGAATTTCTCAGGAAGGGTGTGGCCTGGAGCAAGCTCGAGACACAGCCTCCCTTCGAGGGGATTCAGGCGACTTCAGCCGCCCTCACAGGCGCGGGCGGCCACGAGACCTTGAACCTCAACTGCTTGAACTCATTGACACATGCTATGGTTTTGGACAAACAGATGCTACAGCAGCTTTTACGTGGAGAGTCTGGCCCTTCAGGTCTGCAGTCCGCTAGCATCGACTCACATCCGCCATCGACAGACAGTAGCTTCTTGTTAGTAGTATAAGGCCAGGAGCTACCACTAGCGTCGTTGACTAGTAGTAATGCCCTTGTCACTAGTAGCGGCAGCTTGGTTGTGCAGGCAACGACATTTGGTTCGTGGGCGGATGGTCGCAGCATCGCGGCACACTCTCGCAGGCCTTCCGGCCAAATCGCTACATCGTTGTGGTGCTATGTTCCACAGTGGGACAGGGACGGCGATGTTGGAACAAGTATAGGTTGAGCAAACATGCACACCGGACAAAGGCACCAAGGCTGGATGCCAGTTCTTTTTAATGGCTCAAGCCGAGAGAAAGCAAGGATGTAATAAGGTTTCTCCTGAAGAAAGAGAACCATCAGACTCATGGAGTCTGCATGAGTCTGCTGTGTTGTTGCTCCGAAAAAAGCCTTGAGACCTGCAGACCTCAGGTGAGTGTTTTCCACACTGACACGCGTCTTGGCAAGTGGATTTGGACGAGAAGGGTTGAGAAAGCACCAATAGCCGCTGTTTGTGCAAATTTTGAGGGAATAAGACGTCAGAAGACGTTTGATTGTTGATTGTCCTTGTGGACTCGGGATCACTCGGGGTCTTATAGACCAGGCCTAGCTTTCCAGGAGCGTGACCAGCGAAAAGTCCTCAGAACTGTGCTTGGAACTCCTACATTGGACTGTTTTCTTTATTAAAATATAGGCGTCAACTTGTTTGGCGGTTTCGGGTCACGGAGAACGTCCGTCCACAGGAAACGGTCCCAGCAAAGGATCACAGTTCATCTCGCTGCTGTCTTTGTTTTGCATGATTTGGTTTCTCAGTCATTTGCCTGTCCAGTAGACTCAGTCATTTGTGCCTTTCTCATGCTGAACTCCTACGCTCAAACCTGGTCATCAGGAATAGCTCATAGCTCCAAGGCTCAAGTGGACCATGAAAAGTCCACATGGGGCTGCACCTTGGGATTCACGGGTGACGTGGCAGCAGATTGGTGTTTCGCATCAGGTCCTTCTGGTATGGCCAGTTGCCCCATGCCTTTCGTCGTAACAACAGACACAGAAAAAAGGGTAGCACGCACCTTGGACTGTGACAGTATGTGAAAGTCTTTAAATCAACTTCATGTTGGGATGTGTTTAAGGTTTTGGATTTTAAACAACATCATGTTCAAGTTGTCTGTGTGGTGCCTCCCCCCAAAAGGGTCCGAGGTAATACTCACTTAAACAGTGAAGTCTCGCGTGTCTCGATTTCGCTCCACGTCTCGCTGCCTCCGATGCCTTGGATGGACTCTCCCTGGATGGACCATCCAAGTCCAGCGATCTTTGGACACTCCGAATCACCTCCAAGAGGCAATTGTTTGTTTAAGACACCTCAGAAGGATGGTCCTGGTGGATGCTGGTGGCCACATGTTCAGACCCCAAACTCATGCTCCACATGTTCAGCCGAAACGGTCTTGTTTACATCGATGAAGATCAGGCAGACCATGCCACCGCCATCTCGCCAGATGGAGCTTGGCTGGTGACGTGGCAGACGACGTGGGGCAGATGGTTGGAAGACATCCCACGCAGAGTTTGGTTCAGTCCAGCGGAGGGCGATTTTTTTTGCGAGCCACAGACAAGTGTATATATATTATATATATACATGTGTATCATATACAGTAAAAGCAGCCAACAACTGCATGGAACCTAAGAATGAGCCTCGATTAATGATATGATTCTGATAACGACTCAAGCATACAGGATACCATTTATATAAACCCAGTACAAGGAAAATAGACGAACACTTGTACACCAGCAGCCTTTCTAGGTTGGTGAATGGCTCTCCCCTCAAAAGCCATTCAAGCTGCCTGTAGGGTGGTACGTGTTCTTGTGTAAGGCCGAAGTAGTAGGTGTTTCATCCCAACAGCATCAGACAAAACCCAGTCATAAGTAATGAGATGTTATAAGTTTACAAGGCTATGCACCAATTGGAGATGACCTGAACCATTCAGCACCACTTGCCCAGCGCCGCTTCGCCCGTCGACCCCCAAAATGGCGACCAGTTCCATGGCCGACCGGCCAAGGTCATGTTTGGAGGTCAGCATGCAAAGCAGGGTGGACAGCAGGGATGCCTAGCGTGAACCGAACTCCGTTGTGGACTCTGAAAAGGAATCCAACAAGATAGAACACAATATCCCAGACACGCCATGTATATATATATATATATATTTGTACTGTATATGTTCAATTGTTATATATATATATGTGGTATATATGCCTACATAACCTACATTTTCCCCTAAAAGCAACACCAATGTAGGCAAATATGCAAGACATGGAGTGTTTGGCATATAAACATGAGACCCAAACTTTGGGCCGCGGGGTTTGCTCCGTTAGGGCGTCGCTTTTGATCCGCTCCGCGCGGGGTGATGAACTGGGTAGACGCGATGGACCGGGTGTGCCCTGAACACGATCCGAACAAGTCCAAGAGAACAGCTGAGAGGCAGCTCTTGGGGAGAGGGTCGAAGAATTGTTCTTTGCCACGCTTTAGAATCGATCAATCTGCACCTCTAGCACTATAGCATGCATGTTCGGAAGACTAGAGCTGGTCTCAGTTGCAGCGAGATGGAATGCACTATATAGATATGTTGGAACCATTTGGAACCCATGAGTTTGAGTGAGAAGCACTGTTCACTCAACATGCCCCGCTCACATGCGTGCTGCATTGACGTTCACTCAATCAAACCTGCCGCAGAAGCACCAATTCAGCGGCAGCTCGTGAGCTCCCTCCGCGTGGGACGCCCTTTTTTACACCGGTGGGCCGGGCTTTCCCCTTTCCTCCGTTCGACGCCAGGAAGTGGAAACGATGCGAAGATACTTGGCGAGTTCCACTGCCAGGCGAGGTGACGAGGTGACGAGAAGTGACTGGCTGACCATGGCATTGGACCAAGGGGGGGCGCCCTTAGCTTTGAAAAGGGTCGCAAAGACCATGGGAACAATTCTGGAACTTGTGAGATTCAACATGTTTGGTGGTGCTCGACCCCCCCAAAAAACGAGACAACCCAATTGGCCATCTGTTTCGTGGACGTGTTCCACCTCAAATCAGCGATCCTGCTTTTTCGGACATTTGTTTGGCACCCCGCCGGCCCGCAGTCTTTGGAACTACCTCTCACCAGACCGGATCCAAGTTCCGATGACCGAAGACTCCAAAATGGTGTTCTACAATGTGAATTACTAGAAGTTTCTTCCAACTTCAGAACTGCAAGTGACTGCAAGTAACTTGAAATTACTCCAAAGTGCGCAAAGTGTTTACCACGTTCTCAGTCTTTCGATCCGCGGTTGTGCGCCCAACCTCCAGGCTACACTGCCGCGCAGTGGCACCGCTTGGGGGACCTGCCGGCGGCCCGGAGCTCGCCCGGCGTGCTGGTGCGGGGCGCCCGACCTGACCGGATGGATTGGACAGGCATAGCAGGCACAGCTTGGAGGTATTTCCCAGAAATGAGTTGAGAAGTGGTGGTATTTCCAATCAACGATGGGCGAAGGGTTCGATGATTGGAATAGCCTAGTAGTTCGCCGAGTTTCAAGGGTTGTCTATTGCTAGTAGGTTGGAGGCCATTGCTAGTAGCTTGGAGGCATTCCTTCCCTTTCCATGTGATCCGACTCGTCCTTTCGCCACATCGTCCGTCCTTTCGCACCCTCAGGTCCTGCAGGGCTGGTTGCTCACCATGGGCGGCCACTGGACTCCGGACACCGAGGCCTTAGCGGTGAAGCAGGCGCTTTCGGTGGGCGCTCTTGAGGTGTGTCTGTGCTTTTTTGTTGGAAAACCGGAATACAAAACCATAAATAAAGGACACCGGGGATGTGGAATTCACTCACAGGAGAACAACATTCATGTAGCATCATGCAATAGGAAGAACATATTGTTTAACAACAATTAACCTCGAATTTAGCCTTTTCGACTGAGAACAAGATGCCTTTGAACATCGCTGGTTATCAAGATTCTGGCAATTCATATGCCAGCCAGTTCTTCGTTCAATGTGAACATTTTTTCCAGGCGCAGGGGTGAAGAGGATGCATCCGTCACATGTTCTTTGACTGGTTGCTGGGATGTTCAATGGAGATGAACGGTCAAACACCCGCTGTCATGTTACACCTGGCTTTGAAAACACCTCGGCTTTGTGGTAACAGGTCGAGACAGGCTGACAGACTATCTGAGATGCAGATGGTCCAATAGCTGAGATGGCCCTTAAGACCTCCAACCACATCCGAAGTCGAAGGCAGTTAGAACCCCCAGTCACGCACCCACCCCAACAATCTTCGACTTCGGATGTGGCTGGAGCAGCGAGAGTGAATCCTAAATGATGATCCCATCGTTTGGAGGGACTCGACTGACCTGACCTTAGATCTCGGCCGATACTCCAGCGAAGCTTGCTCAACTCTTAACAAATTCGGCACATCATTTATGAGACCAATGTGCTATCTAACGAATCAGGGGTTGAGAGGTTCGTGGGGATCCAGGATCGTTTCTGTAGTTTGACATGACATGTGTCGGGCTAGACAGACTTGTTTCAGTGTCAAGCTGGGATGTTTAGTTGACTAGTGTGCCCTTCCAAACAGACGCAGGGACTGACATACCTACTGATGATGGTTACAGTAAAATCAGATGTAATTATAGTTCTATTGTTACAAATGTCATATTCGAACTTTTTTTGCATATAATTACATATATAATTAATTAATATTCAAGAACTCCAGGTACGAGGGTTTGGTGATGCCAAGCTTGCAACTAATAACAATACTTTCTCAGCTTCTATCCGTGTTCCTGGATTCCTAAAAACAGGATGCAGCTGACTGCAGAAGCCGTGTCCTTCAACAGAATCAACAACAGGAGTGACTCCCACCTCCTTTTGCTACCCTCCCCACTCGCTGCGAGGCGGATCGGGAAGGCATGGAAAAGCATCACGAGGCATCCACGAGACGAACGAAGAGCGCGCGCGACACAGACCACTGGCAGAAGACCGGCACATGATGTGATCCCTACAGTCCCTGTAGTTGAAGAGCCTCTTTGAGCATCCCACTGACAACTCCCTGTGTCGTCGCGGGTGCCATAAGGTCTCTCAACCTCTTGGAATCTCGTGTGATAGACAAATTCCGGTGCTTCCCTACCATGTCCCAGACCGTCCACACGTAAGACCCACGTTGACTGGAGTCTGCTTCCAACCCATGGCCGTCCTGTCGGTGTCCGGGAGTGGTCCGGCCTCAGGCCACGGAGTTCAAGACCTACAACGCGCCAGCCTTAGACGGGGCAGATCTGTCTGCGCGTTCTCGACATGGGAGAACAGACCTACGGACCTAGACCAGGGGTTTTTAACCAGGATGTTCGGTCGTGTCACACTCTGAGGAATACATAGGAATAATTACCGAATTCCACAAAAGATCGTTCAAGTTGAAAAGACCTTGATACGTTTGCATAACTCCCCAGTCTCAGCTTGTCAAGCGCTCTATTTTGATGCTGGAAGCTGTGACTATGGTGGTGCTGGCTTGTATCTATGTTGTTTCATTCTCAGTTTTCTTAGGCAAGAGGAACCACCATAGATGAAACATAGATATACAGACGTGACATACAGATGCATACAACATCATATACAATTATTATATACAATATACACATATACAAGCACTGGTTGTTTTGCGGTTCCCTCTGCTAATCCATGTCCATTGGGTTGGTCGAATCGAGCAGTTGCTGAGGATGTCGTGGCACTTGATCTGAATACAGCAAGCAAGACGTGGAAAGTGCTGGAAGCAAAGGCAAGAGGACATGAGAGGACTGGGAGGATGGCTATGAACATTGGGCTTGTCCTCGTGGTGAACATGATCATCAATGCACATGATTGCACCATGTATACAATAGGTTTTGATAGTTTCATCAGTTAGCTTGAATGGTGAGTTCATTGGACCATAGGAGGATTAGGTGTTTGACTCCGAGCAGCAACAATATACCAAATATATGTGTGCTTTTTGTGTTTACAGTACGTTAATTCCTTCTTGTTTGTCGCCGCAGTTCTCTCTTTTTTACATCCAATGTTTGAGCCACACACACAGATTTAGTGATGGTGCTACCAGAGTTCAAGAACACAGATTCCAAGAATCCACATCTAGAAAGCTCAGGCCCGCAACCACTGGACCAAAACCAGAACTAGCAGCATCAAATTAAGACCTCACTTGGCTTTGACTTGTTTTTTTGAGCACACCACCGACGGTGTTCGTCAACTGCACACCTCGACTCCGAAGAGGCTCCATGGCCAGCCCGAGATGATGAGGCCGTAGGCGTGGCAGAACCGAGCCGAGAGGAGTCATGGAAGGTGATTTCAGCCGGGGAGAGGACTTGAGTGATCAGCAAACATGGTAGTAGTCAACGATGTGTTGATGGTCATCACTAGTCACTTGTTTATATTGTATATAGAGAGAGACTTGCACTGCACTAAATCATCGATATATATATATATACTAACTGAACCGCGGTTGTGGATACAGGCTACATGGTCCTGTGTTTTACTACAACTTGTGCGTTAAGCTTCTTCCAGTCAATCCCTTTTGACTTCACTTCTGATGGCAGATAGACTTGTTATCTTCTTGGTTCGTGAGTCGATTCATGTCAGTGGCTCTACCATGTTCTTCCAAACGCCACAGCATTTCACCAGATTTCACCAGGACCGGGGAAAAATGGCTTGGCACCATGCTTCGCACCGTGTCACCAGACCGATCCATCATTTCATCGCGACAAACACAATAAAAAGACCACGCGGCGAGACAGTTGTTCCTCCAGGTGTGACCAGTGAGGGCACAATTCTCATCTTCGGAGGTGGCACAATGTCACATGGCTCGTGTTGGATCGGTCGTTTCGTCGGAGATCCAGGTGAACCATTCAATACGTGCGTAGATTCAGGTGTTAAATTTGCAAAGACAATTCACGAAAGGGTAGCCCTTTAGGGGATACCTTGAGTTTGTCTTGCGAAGCAAGTGTCGGCGCGTCCGGGTCTAATAATTGATCATTCAATTCAACCCCCGCCCTTGGCATTGATTTCTCAATACAGGACCCCCCCCCCCCCCACAATTCCCCCGTCGGTACACGTCTTCGTGAGCCTCTCATGATTTCAGGATAGTTGAAACCCTCTTGAACATTCAGAAAGAGTGCATATGATATTCTAATCACGAAAGGTGTTCCCTGAGGGGATACATACCTACGATACCTAGAGTTTGTTTTGTGAAGCACGTCAATTCTCTCCTGGGGAACGTCTTCGTGAGCCTCTTATGGTTTCAGGATAGTTCACATCCTATGATGCTCCGATTCAATGCTCACCGATGCTCTGAGCCATGGGGCAAATTTGTTTTCCTAAGAATCTGTTTGAACATTTCGAGAGCATATGTTTGAACATTTAGAGTGCATATTACAGTGCATATGAAATTATATTTACGAAAGGTCGCCTCCGAGGGGATACATCACCATGTCGAACATTGCATTTTTGTTCCTGCCTCTCGCGTTCTCTTCTCTTCCAGCTGTCCTACCTTTCGTGTCTCCCTCCTCTCAAGTATGTTGACTGCTACGCACTACATATAGATGTATATATGATAACTGTATGTGTATATACGTGAGTTAATAAGCTTTGGAAATCTTCCAACTGGATGAACTCAACCCATTTTTTTAAACGTTTCTCCACATGTCCAATCAGCAGGCTTCCAGCTTGGGCGTTGCGAACCGTTTCAGAACACAGCAGATCGGTGGAGCCGATGGTTCTTGGAATTCGTCCTATCCAACATGTAAGGATCGCCCCCTGGCCCCTACTGGTGATAGAACTCAACAAACCTGAGATGGGACCAGGGGGCCAGATACATGTTACATGTAACTGGCACCCTTAATGTTCTACATAAAACATGATAGAACTCAGCAAATTACGGTACAAACCCTAAAGCAAAGACATGCACGGGCCTTGCCTGGGCCTTGCCTCCCAAGCAATGTTCGGATGATGTGTGGGTGTGTGTTTTGCAACTATACTGCGTGGGCCGCGGCCAATGGGGGCTATAGATGGCTATTTGCTCATTTTAAAGCTATACAGTTTGCAGTGATGTGAATCTGTTGGTTTGGTTTTGCAGCAAACGCTTTGGATTTGGTTTGGTTTCCCAGTTATACACTTAGGTTTGCTAAGCTTTGAAGTAACTTGTTGGTTTTTGCACATGAAGTCCCCAGCAAGTGACTTCCACGCTTAAAGTCGGGCGATTCGCAGCGGCGGGTCTATTCGATGCGGTATGTGTGGCTTGCGGCTTGCGCACGTGGCCATCGGGCATCTATATGCGCAATGAATACCATACCCATTACTGTAATATATAGGTATAGTATTCATTCGATAACATGAATGACCACCCATCATAGAACATGAATGAACATGATAGTCTCATGACATCATGATAGCCATATGATGTCTCCAAGTGATAGAACATGACTAGATTGACTAGATATCCAGCTAGAAGATGCTAGAAGCCATGGCATTCAGGGTCAGATTTCACTCACCATGCATGGGACAACTATTGTTTGTTGACAGGAATTGCCCACCCTATATGCCCAAATAGATATCAATGCTTTCTTTTTTTAGATGATGTGTTTTGCCTTTTTCAACTGACCTTCTGGGGCCAGTCCAATTTCCAAACAATAATGTTGGACATCATGGACCAACTGGAGGCTATGAACAACAAACTCGTCCACTGTTTGATTGATTGATGACAAGTTTGTGGGCAGCTGCAGGGATTTACATTGTATTTTCGCATGTTGCAAACCCGTGAAACAACATTCACATCTCTCATGGGTCAATTTTTGTCCAAGAGTAGCCGCAGCTAAGCTTTCTCATGAGTTTGGTACATATCCTCAACTGTGATATCGTGGAGTGAAAGAGACCCAAGAAGAACAGCTTCACCATCCCGTTCGGGCTTTGTTGAGGGTCCCAGCGCAACTTTTGAGGGTCCCGTTCGATTCACTCAAAGCCATGAAACATCGTGACTTGTGGCATTTTTCCCAATTGCTTTCTGGGGGACGAACCAGGTCTGAACCAGGTCCACGTTTTTTTTGTTTGATCTCCCGAGGTATGGCGGTGGTGGCTACCATCAGGATGCTCCTCGGACTTTTCAACCAAAACGAGCCCATTTGTAAACCTGGGACTGAGTGAGTGAGTTTCCATCACAGCGCTGTGTTTGAAGGGTTGGGGTGTTTTTATTGGTGCACTTGGGTTATTATAGAAATATTTTGTTGGGTTTCACCCGGAAAACTAGTTGAATAAATCAGAACTTGAATCCTGAGCGTGGCCGCATATCATAACAGTGTGCCAGGTTGCAAATTCCAGCGAACTGATTGTCTAGTTTCATGACGTTTTGCAACTCCTCGCAAATTGATGACAAGGAAGTAATTTTGAATATATATATATATATAATATATATATGTATAGTCTACTTTTGTCGGAAGTAAGGATTGTGCACGGTTGCTATCAGAGCACGTTTGTTCATACCTTCAGTGTTGCTTTGCAGGATCCTTTGCAACTACACTGGTTTGTATGCCCACAGCATAGCTGATACATGCTGGTACCCACAGTGACAGAAAGGGTCATGAAACAGTAAAACATATGAAACGCCTGGCGCCCCTGGCACCATGTTTTCTTGCCTAGCCCCACGCCATGCATTTGTTGAAGACTCGCAAGGTATTGTTTCCTCACTGCAATGTGTTGTGTTGCTGATCAAACAAATGATATTTCCATGTATTTCCCATACAAGTGTGACAGGTGTGGGTGATTTGTCAGAACACTCGTGCCTCCAGATTGATTCATGTTTTTTTGCATCTTGCCTTGAGGTAGCTTAGTTTTTTTTTTGCTAGATGGCACTGGTTCCAAATATACGGACCAGGGACGAATATACAATTCGGATGATGTTCATCATCCCAGTGTTTGCTCCGGCCAAGCTCAGGATCAAATTCGGTCCCCAAGGCTAAGCTAAGGCTATTCACATGTTCCATCTATCCCAATAGAATTATCAATCCCAAACACTCCATATATGGCATATTTACATTGACCCCTTAAACCACCCCAATGTAACTATACCTAGATCTTCAGTCCGGCACTTTTACAGGGTCCGGCGCCGGACTTCCAACTCCGGCGTTTTTCTGGATTTGGTCCGGCAGTTTGTCCAAGTCACTTTATGTGGATTCTCAAGGCTTTGCATTCTTTGTGGTCCGCATGTCTTTGAAGGTAAATCCACTACTGATGCAATGATTTTGCTTGCAAAGTGTGCTCGTTTGCCTGTTCCGCTGTTTTCTCATTCCACTGGTTTCAGCATGGTTCACACTGGATCAATCAGATCCGTTTAGGTGATGTTCTATATGAAATCAGATGAAATCAGTACAGTGCGATGCACGTGTTGAAAGACCCAAGTGGGTGTACCTAAGCTGAAAGAACATAGGCGAAAATGTACTCCCATTGTTTCAGGATGTCGGGGCGCTGGGATATAGTTCTAGCTGCGCAGGCTTGCAGAGCCTGCCGGACATGTTTTGGGCTGTGGAACATGTGTTGTTCAGAATCTCAGTGTTTTGCAGAGAGTTGCTAAAAAGAAATGCGCGTCGCAACTCCGGCGTAATTTCCCGTAATTAACTCTGGCGTATTTTTTGGACTCAGTCTTCTGAAGGTTTTGAATGTTGAAATGTTTTTCAAGGAAGAGTTTTGACTAGAACCATGAGTTCTGCTGCTTCATTGAGGGGGCCATCCTGAGGCAAGCTTAAAAATCCTAAAAACCGGAGAGCAACCCACTTTGTAAAGGAACTTTAGAGGCGCGGTTGCAGAGAAAGAGGGGCTCCTTGCCACATACTCCTTGGTTTCTTCTTGGAAGTCTTTGCTTGGGCACAAGTTTGCTCATATTTTGTGATGGTTCTGCTCTTATAGGCCATTCGGAAGATGAGCGACGGCAATGGGAACGGGAAGGCTCCAGTGATTGGGTTTTTCAGAATCTTGGATCCGATGTTTTTTCAGGTCCCCGGCGTTTTTTGGAATCCAGCGGAAAATTTTGCCGGATTGAGGTCCGGCACTTTTTTCCGCCCAAAGGAGGATCCAGGTATAAAGTATGCCGCGAACCCCCACTGTGCAAACTATTGCAAACTTATTATTGATTCTTGAGAAGCTAAAGAATATCGCCATCAGCAAAGACCGCCGTTTGGAAAATGTAATGCCGTTTGAGGTTCATGTGGCCGCTACCCATTTGTTGGCTGCAGAAGTGGCACATTGATGCACACTGCAAATAGCGTACAGTACTTGTATACACCCTTGCTTCCAAAAACCACAGTTCTCGAAACATCTTGGTCTCAACGCACAGCAATCCTCTTGCCCTCGCAGACGGGTAGCAGCTTTTATGATGTAGAACTCCAAAGCCCTGTGGAAAGCCACCCCGTTGTCGACTCCCAGACTCAGCTTGCAAAGGCGGTGTTCACGTTGCTGACAATCCGTCATAATTGCGGCGTATTGCGGCGCAACCGGTTCAATTGACCATTGACATCGGCCAAAACATAAGACCAAAAGTACTGCGTTGGCTTGATCGCAAAAGAGGCACGCACCGTGTGCTGCTCAAATGCCCATATGTCCGTTGCAGGGTACTTGTCCTTTCTCAGCAAGTTTCCGAGCAGATGGACAACAATTGTTCTGTCTTCCAAAGCCTACCAGCGTACCACGCACTGTGCACGAAAGCCGAGGCGAAGGACACACCCAGAAGCAGACAAAACGTACGCAGCTGCCGCCTTTGCAGTATCCTTCCTATTATTATTGGTTGACGGGGCGAAGGAAGGAAGGCAGGAAGGCAAGGAAGGACTGAAAGAAGGCAGGGTGAAATAAAGGAAGGGAGGAAGAGGGCAGGAAGCAAGCAAGCAAGCAAGCAAGCAAGGAAGGAAGGAAGGAAGGAAATAAGGAATGATAGGAAGGAAGGAAGGAATGATAGGAAGGAAGGAATGATAGGAAGGAAGGAAGGAATGATAGGAAGGAAGGAATGATAGGAAGGAATGATAGGAAGGAAGGAATGATAGGAAGGAAGGAAGGTGGGCACGAAGGAAGGAAGGAAGGAGGAAGGAAGGAAGGAAAGAAGGAAGGGAAAGGAAAGAAGGATTGCAAAGGAAGGAAACGAGGCAGGTGTCCGCAGCAGTTGTGGCTCAAGTAAGGAACGACAAGGATGTTTCGCGATGTTTTTTGTCACCTGTGTGTTTTAAATATGTTTTTTCTTTGTAGGTGGCGTATTCAGGCGTTTTCATTCTATTGGTGAATTCTTAATGTTTTTTGTATATTCTTTGGAGGTGGCGTGTTTATTTAACACTTAAGTTTCAGTGCTTTTATAGTGTTTGCATGCCCTCATTAGTGTACAGCGGCGCATCCCGTCCCAGAACGATTCTTTTTGTTCGGTTTCTTTGAAGAATCGAGAGATTTTAGTATAACGAAAGTTCGCGGATATAATGCGTAGCTGTGAGTCCTCGATGTGCGAACGAAGTGAGTACAGTGACGCAGTTGCGTGTAGAAGACAGCGCTGCAGACGCAGTCCAGAAAGAGCCGGTGGGCACTCATGTGATTGTAAACAGCAATGCCCAACCGTGCCGTCGAGCGGACAACGCACAAAATTTTTTCTTTTCGTCATCCCCAACAACTTGGTTCAACAGCAATGATCAACACCCGCACAAACTTGAGCAAGAGGTGCAATCTGAGCCCTGAACATTTGACCAAGGGTATGGCTTCTTGTTTTTTAAGTTGAATAGGCTTTTGGAGAACTTCGGAGGGATGCAGTTTTCCCGTTTGAAGCGAAGACATGTCGAACTGGCGGTGGGTCCTTGGCAGCACCAAAGAGCGTCCACTCAATGAACAAGCAGAGCATGCTTATGCTGTGAAGCCCCTAAAGACTCCCAAACGTTGGCGCAAAGTGTGGAAACAATCTTGCCGTAAAAGTGCTCAGGTTTCTTTGGGTCAAACGGCACTGCGTGCGAGGCTTGGCTTCCTTCCAGGCCTTTCCACATGGAGCGTCTCAGGCCACGCCGGAGTGGCGGACATGTCTGGTCCGATGCCTGCAGCTTTTACTGAAGTTTCCCTTGCAGGTGACCCCGGCGCAATACAAAAAGAACAGTTGAATGTTGTAAGCGATATTTCGAGACTTCTTGCTGTCATCTTTTGTTGTAAAGAGCGGCTCCAAAACGGATCCGCTGTGTCTTGTCCTGGCCTGCGTCAACTGCAACTAAGTTCAACTGGAACCATGCCAATGGAGACGTGTGAAGGGCGAACAAGTCGCAGGTTCTGCAGTGCAGGGTGTCTGCTGGAAGATAAAACATTGGGCTATTAAAAGTGAATTCCTTCCTGCTTCTTTTGGTGTGGTGCTAGTCTGGTTGGAGCGAGTCCTTGATAGAAATTGTTTGGTGCAAGTTGCCAATCTATTTGCGTAGCACTTAGTGTGTATGGGATTGATGGGGACAGTTTGCGTTCAGGCTCAGCAGAGCCCCACCAATCTGCCAACATCTCCACAGCTGCCAGTTGTAGGTCATCTACATAGGGCCAAGCTCCCAAGGTTTGGCTCCTTCCAAGCTGCCAGTTCTCCCAGTCCAAGGTCGATGACATTGCGTTTCACAATGTCTCACACAAACTTCATGTGAGCCAAGACCGCTTGCGGCGATGACAACAAGTTGCAATGACCACTTGGATTGCAACCGTACTGCGTTCTGCCGATGCATGCCAGCGGCAATGGGACTGCAAGCAGCGGAGGAAATCAAAGCCAAATTGAAGTCCATTCTCAAAGATCTGATAGAGATAGGAAGAGTCTTGTGAGTTGCGCGTTGTATAACTGTATGTTATTTTTTGTTACGAAAGCCAGCCTTCGTAGAAGGCGCCAGCTGAGTTGTGTTTGGCGAACGAAGTGAGTAAGTAGGGGGTCTGGGGGGGCTGGCCCGAGAACCCCCTACGAAAACTCGAAATTAGGTGGTGTTTAGGGGTGCGCGGAAGCAAGGTTTTGGAGGTTGTTTTGGAGGTGAATTTTTGTGATTTTTGAGCGTGTGGTGGTGATGTAAGAAAACAATTTTTTGCACTTGCATTATCTGCATGGTAAGGTGTAGTTTTACCGAGGCCGATGTGTTGTAGCTTCGTACAGCTGTGAATACATAACCTCTTACACACCTATTAAGTTCAAAGCACTAGTCACTAATGAGACCTCAAAGCTGTGGATTGCTGCGCGTTTCTCCAGGTTATCTGCGGCTTAGGGAAAGGGAAATTGAAGTGCTATACCTGGCAACATGCTGTCTTTGGCCAACCACGTGTTCGTTGACAAAAACGCTGGCTAATTTTGCCGCTTCTCAGGTTATGTTATACTTTCAGGAACTACTTCTAGTGAATGACTTGATGATTGGCACATGTAGGTTAAGTAAAAAGAATCACACTCGTAGTATAGTATATGCCATACACGGAATGTTTGGGAATAGTATTTCCAACAGTATGCAGCGTCAATCCGTCCATATCGGTCCGACTCTTCTGCCACCCCCGTTAAGTCCCACAACATCCGCGAGTCGAGTCCAGCGCATGCACGGCATGCACATATTTTGTCCAGGTTTGGCGGCTTGAGAGGGCCTCCCAGGTGTACAAATTGACGAAGTCCAGTGAACAGGAACTTTGAAGTGACCAGTCAACAACTTTCCTGAAGATGAAGATCACACAGCATATGCGGATAGGTCGGATCGGCTCAATGATTTCCAAACCGCTCCGTTAGAGGTCCCCAAATGGATGGATACGGTTTCCGAAAAATTCAGAGATGATTCATTGTTGTTTTCTTTAATGTGGTCACCATGGTGTCAATCTGTTGACGTCCGTGGGCAGAACACGGAAAACAACTGGAGGGTGCTCGAAAAATCTTTCGGCGTTTGGACGGCTGTCCTGTGGAAATTGCAAAAGTAAACACCAGGGGTCATGTTGGAAGGCATGTCGTGCAGATGATTGCCAGCCTTTGCTCTTTGAAAGCAAAAGGACTCTCTAGCGTGCCAAAGTGCACCAGACGAGACGTGGTGCCTGGCTTTAACAAAATGGCATGCGGTTGATGCGATGCATTGGAGGACCATATTTATCAGGGCAAAGGCTGGGACGGAGTAGTCCTTTTGTGCGAATGCATGGATGAAGAGTAGATTGCACAATCCCCCAAATTTGGTGGTTTATGTGGACCCCATTTGAAGGACAATGTTGAGGTTTGTGCCATGGAACATTTGAAACCACTATGTTGATAGCAGCTTGAAGATGTTTGAAGAGAGGATCTGTCACAGAGCATCGGCCTAGATGTAGCTTATTAGAAGGAATCCTTTCGATGCAGAAAACCCAGCCTCCGGCATTCTGGAAAAAAATCAAGTCTGGGGAAGACACGACCATTTTTGGTCCGTGACCATTTTGGATCCGCGCACATGTTTTTGTTGTTTTTGCACTCGTTCTTCAACCAACTGGCCAAGGCCCTGATGCGATGAAAGTGACGCATAAAGAATCATCGCTTCGAACCGTTAATCCTTTTTCATCGAGTCGTCCGTATGAACGAAGAACAGGATCGATCAATGGAGCACCCTAAAACCCTCCAATGGATGGCGACCGGAATGCAACCCTCCCAGTCGACTGGAAATATGTTCGTTCCTGGCCAACTGGCCGAGCTTAGCTACAAGTTCGTCCTTCGGGTCCAGCAAACAAAGAAAACACTCTTCTCTTGAGCAGCTGCGTAGCTGGCATGACTTCACCCCTGGACTTCACGATGAACTCTGATGTCCAGAGTACTTTTTGGCTTCTCAAGTTACTATTACTTGCAATTGAAATGTATTAATTTGGTTGGTTTAGATTTCGGGGGTCTAGAATGCAGTTTGGTTTCACTTCTGCACTGAGCTGAACGGGGCTCATGTGCAGTGCATGCGTGAAAACCTCGCAGAAAGCGGCTGAAACAGAGAGATTGAATGGCATCACGGTTGGTCTCAAAGGTCTACAGACATTCCAGGCCTAAGTCACCAAGCTTTTGGCAAGCCCAGCTGACAAACTCTATTGGTTTGATACCTCGAACAGCCAACAGAGCCAATGACTTGATGTATATAAAAGAAACATGCCCACTTGTTTGTTTTTTGTTTTTCTATGAATTGGTTTCTTTAGTCATAATGCCGCGGCATAGTGTTGCATGAAGAATGTGTTCCAACTCTTTTCTGTTGCAGTACATGCCTCTGAGAACAGTTGCACTGGAGCCCTCAGGGTTTGACACCATGTGCAGCTGAACACTCATGCTCAAGCGGTTTTCTGCACACAAATGCTGGATAGTTACAGACAGTTACAGACGTCAACTCCCGGACCGAATGCATTTGAGTCGCATAGATCTCACTTGATCTCACTATCCGGACCTGTCTGTGCAACTTTGCACGCTGTACTCATGTAATCTCAATTAATCTCATATACATCCAAATTTAACCCAAGAAAAGATGTCTTTGCCTTTTTAAGGACCAACATCAACACCCATCAATCAATTCCGCACTTTCAGGGTCCAGGCTCAACCAGGACAGGCCACAACTGACTAGGCACGGAGCATTGAGTGAAATCCTGAGCCCAACAAACACAGCTCCTCTGGCAATTTCGGACATTGATGAGATAGTGGAGGTAAGTGTCCAAACAGTTGCATTCAAGCGTGGAAGACTACGATCTGACGAACCTCCGCTTGCGCTAGATGATTTGCCAAAAGATGCTTCGCACATGATCTCAGTATGGCAACTGGAAAAGGCGACAAGGACCTGATTGCACCAAACCAATAAAGTTGTACTGTGGTGTAGAGTCTAAGAAAACTAGTTGTCCTAGTGGTCAGACAACGAGTTTCTTTTTGGGACCTGCTAAAAACATGTTTATCTTCGCAAGGCGATAGGGGCCTGATGTTGTGCGGTTCTCCAGGACATATTCAAGGCCTTTGAAGAGGAGACCGATGCCTTCTTTGATTCCTTAATGAATGAAGGCCGGCTTGATGTGTGTGACTCCAATCCAATGTAGTTGTAGATCTTCAAGGAAGAGCCTAAGGCATCCCAGGCATAAGACTAAGCAGATCTACGGTGGCATAGGAGTGACCGTTCAGAGGGTTCTTGCGAAAAGCAGTTCCCCTGACAGACCTAAAGGCACAAAAAGGTGGACACACATGACTGCGAATGAAATGCAAACGAGAAGAAGCAAGCCTTAAATCTCAGGGACACCGCTGTGCTCAGTCCGACCAAAAGATGTGCTCCATCGATTGCAAGAAATTCATCCTAAGTCCAGTGTTCAGCAGGAAACAACTTCGGAAACAACCTCCCAAGCGCCTATGAAACTCGATGGAGAACAAAGAAACTCCAACGCATGCACATCGTCCTTCCGCCAGGTCCAGCTCCCAAGGCTTCGGGTTATGCCTCGGACTCGCCCGTTCGGGGCGCCCGGCGGCCAGACGCCACGGAGCCAGATGTGGTGAAGCAAGAGGATGGTTTGACCAGATGTGAATTGGAAGAATTCGAGCAACGCAATGAGAAAAGCAACACAAGACATACCAGGACCTTCAGTGTGTTTTGTTGTTCGTGGTTTCAATGGATGTTATAATCAAATTTATTCGACATCCCTTAAGGCCCTGGCACGCAGATGTTTGATGGATTTTGGTTTGGAAGTGTGTTCTTCTTTGAGAAGTGTTTGAGGAAATTCAACTATTTCGGCAACCAAGGGCCAAGGGCCATTTGGGTACCAGCTAGGTTTGAGGATTCACATGGATTCACGGTGTGGGATTTAGTATACTATGTGACCTACGTAGATGGTGCTGGCGAAACGAACACCTTGGACATCGGCTTGGAATATCTATAGGGGATAACGAATTGATGGCATGAGGAGGGAGCCTATGATATGCCATCCTCTTGTGGTTTAAACCATCTCCATCTACTTGTGCCGAGCCAAAAATGCCATCCACTCGTTATCCCCTATAGATATAAGCCGAGCTTCGAACTATCTCCATTCACATGTGGAGACGAGGGGTTAACCACCGACGTCGACAGACCAGAGGCGCACGGACGGACGGCTCCGTGGTCGTGTCCCGATGGGACCCGGCCCCTGGGACCCGGCCCCGGCTACATTGAGGTCAGCCCTTCTCATTGTACGTAGCAGTTCAATGAGGTGAGACTCAGACACATGATTCGCGGTTTAGCATAGCAAATCCATGCAAAGCCTCGTCAACGGACCCTGGCACACACACACACACACCAAACAGACTTTCCATGGAGCTGTGCAAGACCGAAGGTGCAAGATCCTCACATCTTTTGGGATTTGCCATCTCCAGGCGACCGGTCGCATACATTTGCCATGAGGTGCCGACACCTGCGAGTGCCGCGAGCGCCACGCTGCCGACACCTGAACCGACGCGACGTGTGCAGGTGCGAACACGGTATACTGGGATGTACTGGGCCAGTGTTTCTTGTTCATTTGACTTGCATGTACGTAGAATTATATACTGTATATACTCCGCCCGCAGTTTGTGACATCTACCCCTACTAGGCTACTAGGGGCGTATCCTAGTTGTGCCATCCTTGATCCGGGTTTATATAATCATATCAGACAGTGTTACAAAGACCCTGTCAAAGAGTCCGAAACGGTTGCTTGGGGCAGACTCCTTTTCTAGTGCTTTTCACTGCACCAGCGCTTCGTGACGGACATTTGACATGTGACCCCTACGCGACATCGGCGCTTGGCCGAGCACACTTGGGGGCGACGTCCGAAGTCGCGCCGGTCCCCCCACGAGGCACGTAGCAGGAGTCAATCAGCCGTGCCACAGGCAGTTTGTCGAATCACAGGCAGTGTGCCCCGATCTGACAGATCTGGAGAATAGAGACCCCTGGCAGATCGTCTCATTCCAAGTCCCCAAAGACCTCAGATTCATCTCCCCCAAAGGACCAGAGCCGCCCGCCCTTGCAGGCGTCAATGGCTGAAGTTGCCATGGAGGCTGTTCTCCAATTGAGTGTTCACCAGGGTTGTATTTTTTGCCACGAGGGGCACATTGTCATGGTTTGCATGTCTGTGTTTTTTTTTCAATATCTCAGCATCTTCAGTTGGTGAGCAAACAGTCTGATCATCAACATCAGACGGACACCGGCAATGATCACCAAATCTGAGGTTCTTGACACAGAAAAACCGTGGCCACTTTAGCGGCTCAGGGCACTGGGAGTGCCTTGAATGGTTGCTTAAATGTTGGGACCAAAGCAACTGGTAACGGTAAAGAAAAACAGTGGTTTGGGAGTTCTTGGTGTTCTTATGACACATGAAACGTGTAATTCTAAAGGCCACTCCACACAGGTAATGGGATTTGTCAGGGTGTGTTGTGCAGGAGAAGAATGAGTAGTGTCAACAAGAGCTACAACGAGTATGATGCGCATCCGTTGAAGCTTTCAGAAAAGAAATCATCAAATGGTAGGGAAACAGTAGGGACACAGGGCTCAGAAGATGCTTGCAGCACTATTGTGGACATCATATTATGTTCCTTCTCCACGATGATCCTTGATGAGCCATGTTATCCTGTTTGAACATATGACAACTTGTTTCATTGGAGAGTGTACCCCTGAGCAGAGGATGACTGATGCTTCCATCAACACCAGCGGGCACTGACAAGACTTACAGGAT